GTTGATGGAGGCCTGGGGGGAAGGAAACGGGACGGGAGGGATGGGTTCCTGCTCGTGGAGCGCTGGGGGAGCTGTTACTGGGGTGGTGTTTGAGGGGCCGGTGCTCACCGCGGGCGCGCCGTCGATCTCGTCGATGATGAGGCAGTTGGGCCTCTCGTGGGAGCCCAGCACCGACCTCATCTGGGTGGCAGCTTCAATCCTGGTCTGGAACACCTCGGGGCTGCGGTCATCGCTGCGAGGGGACACGGGGACAGGTGACTTTGGGCGTGGGGACACGGCCGGCATCATCCCTGGGGCAGCATCACCTCAGAACAGCATCACCCCTGGGACAGCACCATCACTTCCAGAGCAGCATCACCACCAGCATCATGTCCAGAACAGCATCATCTCCACAACAGCATCATCATCTCCAGAGCAGCACAACCTCCACAGCACCATCACCTCCAGGACAGCACCACCTCCATGCCACCATCACCTTCAAAACACCATCACCTCCAGAGCACCACCACCTCCATAATAGCATCACCATCACCTCCAGCATCACCCCTGAGCCTGCATCACCTCCAGAATAGCAACACCTCCACAACAGCATCATCACCTCCAAAACAGCAGCACCTCCAGAGCAGCACAACCTCCACAGCAACATCACCTTCAGAACAGCATCACCTCCATAACAGCATCACCATCACCTCCAGCATGACCCCTGGGACATCATCACCTACAGAACATCTCCACCTCTGGGACACCATCACTTCCAGAACAGCATCACTTCCAGCATCGCCCCCAGGCCACCATCATCTCCAGTATCACCTGCCCTCTTTTATGGTCAGGGCATGGGCTCACCTGGCACCCAGGGGCTCACCTGGCATTCATCTCCACAGCGTTGTACCCCGCGTGCCTGGCGATGACGTGGGCCAGCGTGGTCTTGCCCAGGCCAGGGGGCCCGCAGAGCAGGGCCACCTGTGGCACAGAGAGAAGGTCACCCCTGGAGAGCTTCCTCCTCAGAGGGGACAATGCTGCTCCTCAGCTGGAGGCAGCACAGGGAGCCACAGCCGCGTCCCCTGTTGCCCACCTTGTGTTTGGGTCTCTTGTGCTGGTCCAGCTCGGCCTCCAGCATCTCCTCGGTGAGCTGCACCTTGGTTTTCCACTTGTTGGGATGTTCCTTGGCATGGCTGAGGGGGGGATTGGCTGCAGGGTTGGGCTTGGGCTTCTTGCCAGCCTTGTCCTTGCCGAACACCACCGTGTCCCACAGCTTGAGCCACTTGAGCAGGCAGCGGTTGGTGTACTGCAGGGAAGCAGGGAAAATCCATGGAACCTGGGGAAAGCCAGCTGGGGCAGAGGAAAGCTCTCCTTCATGGGGGAGGCTGCTCAGGGTTCCACCTGGCACCTCCCGGGGACAAGGTGGGGACATTTCCCTTCCCAGCTCAGCCCCCATCCCTCAGGGAAAGCCTGGGTGAGTCACACCAGCCCCATCCCTGCTGGCCCTGCTCTCTCTTGGCTCAACTCAGCAATTCCCAGCACGTCCAATTCCCTACAAAACTTCTAACAATCCCCAAAACAATTCAAAATAGCCAACAATTTCTAATTAAAATCCTCTCAATCTTTTTTGTCTCATTTTGGTGACATTCCATAGGTTTATCTGCCAGAACACCCCCAGCTTCCAGTGCAAAGCTGCCATCCCAAGCTCCCAGGACTGCTCCCAGGCAGAGCAGCACAGAGACAGCCCCCCAAGCCAGTGCTTCCAAAGGCAATTCCTGATCCCAGGGCATGACCCCACCCATGCCAAGCCCCCCCTTGTCCCAGCACCTCACATCATCACTGAGCAGCTCCATGTAGCGCTGGGGGGTGAACTTGTCCACCCAGAGGCAGTGGGATGCAGGCTCCTCCTGGGCTGCTGGGGCTGTGTCCATGCTGGGATCCGGGCTCTCGGTGCTGGCCTCGCTCCCCAGGCAGCTGCAGCATGGAATTGAGGTACCCCAAAGCACCCCAGCAGTCAGGGCAGGGTGGGAACTGCATGCAGACCCCCCGGGCTGGGGGTAATGAGGGCAAAAAGGCCCCTCTGCTTGCAGGTCCCCCATAATCTGATTGTGAGGGAGGCAAATCCAGCAGCAAGGCAGGGATTGGGGAGGGATTTCATGCCAGCACCTCACCTGTTGATGATCTCTGTCAGCTGCTGGGAGGCCTCCAGAACCCGCCTGCGACGCTTGAGCACAAACACAGAGGGGTCATGGCTGGGGACAGGGATTTATTTGGGAGCCAGCCCTGTGGCCAGCAGGGGTGCCAGGGACTCAGGGGAAGGGCAGGGACATGCGGTACCTCCTCAGCCACCTGCTCCTTCAGGTAGGAGAAGGGCACCCCCAGCAAGTGGAGCGGCCTGCGAGCGTTCCAGCCCAGGGAATCCGGGAGCTGCAGGGACACAGCACGGCCAGCGCCCGCCTGAGCCACCTGGAGGCCACCGAGGAGCAAAGCCGACCTTCAGACCCCTCCTCACCTCCAGCCCTGTCCTGCAGGGATCATCCCTCAGCACCAGGAAGACCCTGGTGCCCTGGGTGGATGTCACATTGATGTAATCCTCCAGGATGGGGGGTCTCCTCAGGACCCTCTTCTTTTCCAAGGGTGGTGTGGTCTGCATGGGGACCATTCCACTCATCTCCAGCTGGTTCGAGCTGGAAAACACCAAATTCCTTCAGCAGGGGAAGGGACCTTCCACTCTCTCCTGCTAAAAATGGGGTTCAGCGTGGCCAACCTGGTATCGTGGGGAGCCAGAGGTGCCTCTGGGCCACCATCCCAGGGGACATCCGGAGCCAGCTCATCGTCCCCACCGAAATCCAGCTTCTTAACAGCTTCCAGGCGCTGCCGCTTCGGCTTCGGGGCTGGAGCAGGAGGAGAGCATCACTCACTGACGGACGGTGGTACCCAGGGATGCTCCAGCACCCGGCACCGCTCGGGATGGGGAACAGGGGCAGCAGCACCCGGGGAACCGGGTCAAACCTACTGCGGGGCTCGGCTGCTGCCGGGGACACGGCGGG